GATCAAACTCTGAACCTTGGAACATACTAGACAAGTATCCTCCATCCCTGGCCCTTATTTTTAAAAGGTTGTTTTCTATGTCTATGACATTCACTGTACAAAGACATGTTTTTGAATGAGTCATTTTAATCAGTTAATAATCTCATAAGATTAATAAAGGATTTATATAATAAAAATACCCTTGTGTTGAGAGCAAGGCAATAGACCATTAGGCCTTTTGGTAGGTTTTTTAGTTTATAAAGTTCCATAGTGAAATTTTCCTGAATGTGAAAGACCTATTATTACAGGCTTTTCAAATTTAAAATAGTCCAAAATAAATAAATATTTTTAGTTCTTTGGATTCATGGAAATATAATATAACTTGAAAAAAAAACTTTCAAATTTTTTTAATAAAAAAAAATACCAGGGCTGGAGAGAGAGGCACATACTGCTCTTGCCAACAACCAGAATTTGGTTCCTAACATCCACCTTGCGTGCCTTACAACATCCTATAACTCCAACTCCACAAGAGTCAGATGCCCTTCATCTCCTTGTATACCATAATCACATGTACATACCCACTTATACGCTCAGAAACTTACACATAATGGAAAATAAACAGACTTTAAACTAATAATAATATTTACTTTCATAGACATTGAATAATTCCTGCTTCATAATAATTCATAGTTCTTAGTAATGCATAGTTCATAATAATGTATAGTTCATTACAATACATAGTTTCATGACTGACTATCTTAACTTTTAGTAAAGTAGATGCATACTAAAAGTTGTGAGTGTTAATACAAACACTTGCTCTGGAAGATCAGCCAGAAATCTTAGATTAAGTTGTAAATGGTTTTTAAAAAGTAAAAGACATTGAAGAAATAAGTTTTCTCCTATGAAAACAGATGCTTTTATGATGAGAATTATCATTCAGGAAGTTTTATGGAATCCTTATATTATCCAAACAAGGTGAGGAGAGACACAGGCTTTCAACATGGAAAATTTCTAGATTATCCTAAAAATTTAGTTTATATTCCGTTTATTGGTCCTCTGCAATTCTATTCCCATCATCAAAGGCATGAAGCCCCTATTTTAATATAGTCAGAAGAGTCAGAAAACTGTAGTAACTTTCTATCATACAGATCCAATTTGAAATTTGCACAATAGGGATTGAGAAAATAAGGTAATGCTACAAAATTTTCAAGTATTGCCTGATATTTTCAATTAATTTTCATTTATAGAAATTTTCTTCCTACTATGTATGATAGGAAATTTGCTATGTATAGCAGGACTATATAAAGAAATACAATAAATTTCCTTATGGAAAGTGAGAAATGATTTTTAGAATGTAGCATTTTGTTTCCTAAAATAATCCGTAGTAATTATTTCTCTTTTGAGACATTTTTAGTATTATTCATCAAATATCAAAACACATGGACAGTACCTTCTAGACAAACTGTTATTTATAATTGTTAAAGTAAATTTACTCTGTTTTGTTTGTTGTTTAGCTGAACAGATGGTAATGGTTTTGACACAATCAAGTTGCTCTTCCCTTTTTTTTGAACCCCCCAACCCCACCTTTGGGGTAAAAATCATACAGTAAAACAGAGTTTCTGGGCCTACATCGTCACAGCTGGTCACCAATCAATCTGAGTTCACGGTACAGTGATGATCGCACATGTTGTCCAGGGGCCAAATCTGATTGGGTTGTATCTTTCGGCGGTGGTTCACATCAAAAGAAAAGAAGATACATCTAGAGTAGCAACTGACAGCCCGGGATAACACAACTGTCATTAATCAAACCTGGCAACAATGGCTTCCTTCATACAAGTCCAAGTCAGGCAGATTTCACAACGAAAATCATCTTGTTTGTAGTAAAACTGCCTCATCAGAAATATTCTTCCTCTGTTTCATTTTCTGTTTTTAATTAAAATAGGCAGTGCTACTATATGCCACGCATATATAAAATTTCACTCTGCTGATAGGTGATTTTGTATAAAAGCATGCTCTACTCATTTATAATTTATTTCAGACTAAGTAAAGACAGTTAAAAACAAATTGAAGGATACCTGATAAGAGAAATGTAATTAACTTATATGTAGATTGATAAATAGTCATGAGGCTCCTATAGTTCTGATTGTTAAAAAGTATGGATACTGTTAGTTTTGAGGGATTCATAAACCCTGACAGAATAATCAACACAATACATTACCTGATAGACATGTATAAGAAACAGCAAACATATCCAACATAAAGGTGGGCTTTTTCTATTGTAATAAAGAAATGTACTGATAGTGGCTTATAGTCCCTTTATATACCCGACAACAATATAATCAGCTTTTTATTTAAAGTTGCATCAGGAAATAGGCATTTTCTACAGGTTGCCTATCATCTTGCTGTCACATGTGGAAACACATTATACACCACAAAGACCTTAAATGGAAGTATGATAGTTAGGTTTTTATTGTCAGCTTGACACAGTTGAGAATCACCTGGGAAGAGACCCTCACTGAAAGATGGTCTTCACCAGGTTGGCCTGTGGGCTTGTAGTGGAGATTGTTTGATTTCATGTTAACTGAAGTAGGAAGAACTGCCCAATCATCTTTTGTGGAGTAAATGCAAAGGAGTGACAGACTGACCTTTGGCATGCATATGGCGATGGCTCTCTTCTGACTATGGGTGTCACATGACCTCTGCTGCTTCTGCGACTGCCTTCCTGTGATGCTGATGGACCGTAAATTTTGAGTCAAAGTCAACATTTTATATTATTGCCTACATAAATTGAATGCTTAGCAGAAAACATAACTATTTTTTTTGCACATGAAATCATCTGTGATATATGAGTTTGCTCAGTGATGTAGCAGAAGGATACTTCTGAGATTAGAGTTCTCTATATTTATACATTAATTTTTAAATTATTATATAATATATTTAATCAGCAACTCTTCCTCCATATCATTACTCTTTCGCACTTTCTTAGCTTAGGATTTATCTTAAACTGTAGTAATAGCCATCCTTATAGATAAACATGGTAATCGACCATCCTTGAAGCCATTCACATTTATATAGAATTCATATTAGCAGGAAACAAGGCATTAATTGTACATCTCTTGAGTTCTTTGTATGTATAATAAATAGCTCTTATGAATTATGCTTTCCTCTGGCTGTGCTGTTTCTACTTATTTCACAGCTATAGCTGGCATTCCTTCTATTGAAACAGACATTGTTATTAGACCAATTTTGTTAATGGGATAATTCTTACCCAAAGAATTTAAATACTTGTCCACTGTTAGAAACACAGGGTGACCTTGTTGTTAAAATTTGGCTAATAGGTGCCTAAGTCTGTGCTTTAAGTGACTTGTATAAATTTTAGAAGTTCTGTTACTAATAGTATGCTGAGGGCATTTAGTGAAACAGACAAGATGACCCCCTTCTTGGAAAAAGACAACCATGAAAACTCTAAAACTCTAATAGTTCTAAGTAGTACAGAATCATTAACATGTGTCTGCAGTTCAAGAGGGGAGTAGCTATATTTCTTTTTGGCGCAGTTAGGGAAGGTTTCAAACACAGATAGTGAATAAGGCCTTCTTAACTCTTAAACCATGGTCAATAGAAAAAAAAATCAAGGTAAATATATAATCAGAGAAATCAATACCATGATTAAAGACAGAGGAGCTTGGGAGGTCCAAGCCACTGACATGCTTGATAGACAGACATTACATTTGGTCATGCCAGTGTATATAAAGTAAAACTGTCATTAGTAGAGACAAGGCATTTTTGTTGTTGCTGTTATCGTTGTTATTTTTATTTGTTTTTGTTTTTAAAACTAATGTTAGAAGTAGAACACAACTAATTACAGGGCTCTTTGAAACCAGCTGGGCAGGGTGGGGGGAGGGTGTCATTTAACACTTAAGAAGCTCAAGCAGAATTATGAGGAGTCCAGTCACCTCCAGTGACTTAGTGAGTTTGAGAGCCTGGGCTACATGAGAGCCTGTCAAAAAGGAATCAATCAACCAATCAAACAAACAAACAAAAAACCAAGAGAAAGAGAGAGATCAAGGCTAGAAACCTGTCTCAATTCTTAAAACAATATGTCCCAATGAGTATCCAACATGCAGAATCAACTAAAACAATTTTTCGGGAACATTTAAATAACTGTGCAGCATGTGGAAAAAGGAAAGCAGTGTAAGCTATCATAAACTACCAGAAAAAAAAAACTGTTTGGAAAACATTAGTGAAAATTGAGAGGAAAGGTCATAAGTGTGGAAATCTGATAGTATTATTTTCTGGCTTGTCTAATTGAAAACTTAGAGTTGTATAGGAATATAGTCTCATTGCAAGGCACCAATTCCGGTAAATCATGTTAATGTTGTATGTTGTAAACTTATTTTGAAATTGTTTGTTATTCTCTAAATTTAAGAAATAAATCATTGTGAATGAGCTTGGGCAACACATTTCCAAAAGCTGCTTCAAGTCCATTTCAAGTGTCCATATAGGGAGTTGGAAAAAAAACCCCAAAATACAAAGTAACACTTCACTTATTTATTTTTTTAATCAGTGTTCACTTTGTCAACTTCTCAGTATATAAGACAAATATTTCCTCTTTTAATATATTTTAAGTTTCTTATATTTACAATGCCTAAAAATCATATTAAATACATTATGATTAACTTACCTAATAATAAAACACAAGTGACCCCAAAAAATGTATAATATTTTCCTTATTTGTGGAGAGTCACCAAGGATAGGACAAATTGGAGAGCTTGCCTTTCATAGTTTCAAAGCATAACAATTTACACAATGTAAAATGAATGGGTAACTGGCAAGCAACTAGTGGTCAGTTGTAAAATTAGTGATCTGATTTTTAATAATTTTCGTCTGAATGAGTGTAATATGTGTCTAGATGTTTGTGTATATAAAACGCAATATAAAAAGGGATGAATGAGGATTACTATCTATATGCAATAGCTATATGACTGATGCTGTTTAATAATGCTGGTTCCTATTCTACACAGGTACGATATCAAAGATGACTATACCCTGAGAATTAAAAAGGCCTTGAGTACAGATGAAGGTACCTATATGTGTATCGCTGAGAATCGGGTAGGGAAAGTGGAAGCCTCTGCTACTCTCACTGTCCGAGGTAAGAGACTTGAAGCATCAAAGAAAATTGAACCAGGAGCCTAATATTTTGATCAGTTGGTAAGTTCATGACTGCTCAAAATAGTAGGAACTGCTGGGCATGGTAGCCCACACACAAGAAGCAGTCACAGAGGGATCACAAATGGGAAGCCAGGCTGCTCTCTATAGCAAAATGTTTCAGAGTAAAGGAATATATTATACAGTTTTAGTATTATAATAAACACTCTGGTGCTTTTGCCTTCCAAATCATTAATTGAAATAAAGTGACTGCTTAAATGGTTCTTTCTCTCTGTGTGTCTCTCTTTCCTTCTTTCCTTTCTTTTTTTTCACAGAATCCATAAAAGAATTTGACTTCCAAATGCACTGACCGGCTCTGAACTAGTGTTCCATTTAATCTCAGTTAATATGATAATAAACTAATTCAGACAGTAGCCGGTTCAGTCTGCTAGATGGTCTACCACTTCTGATAAACAGGGAACATGAGTGACCTTCCTCTCAGGGGATAGACACACCTCCAGATAGAAATACCTCACTTCTCCCTTCTTGTTTGAAGATGGTTGCCAAAACTGCTGGTAAAGACTGACTTACATTTCTCTTCACATGTCAGCTTGAACTTGGGAATACAAAGGATCCAGTCTCTAACCACAGATAACATATGCATTGGGCCTGTTTTCAAGCTGCTTCGTTTCAACTTGGCTTCACTTCGGGCTTATGGTTGCTAGGGAGGTTGTAAGCCACTACTTCTCAGTTTGATGCTGCTACTCTATCCACTTGCCCGCAGTCGCTATTGACACCAATGGCTGGCTCCATGGAGACAGTATGAATCTCATCCCCCTACAGAGCAGGATTACGGAGTTCTGTACCTTTGTACATGAGAGTATCTTTCAGTTTGCTAAGACCAACAATTATTGCTTTTTTTTTTCCTTTCATGATTCACATTTGGTTGTAGCTCTTTGAGATCTCCTTCATTTAAATATATCAAGCTGTCTATGATCTCTGTCTCTGAAGTCTTTACAACAGAAGATATTAAAAGATATCCCCTTTGTCTCAGGGCTGTGTTGTGAGGACCCAAAAAAACGGGCAGTGCCTAAGCATTTGCCTGGTGCTACCTACTCATTCAACAGACAGAGCAAGTAGAACAAGGTGAAGGGCCCTGTCTAGGGTCATACTACTGATCTGTGGAGAAGTGAGAGCAAGCACTCACTTTTCTCCCATTGTGGGGCAATGCTCTGGCCTTGTCATGTAGGTAAAATTATTTTATAGAGTTACATGCATTATGGGCTAATGGTGAATGAACCCAAACTGGAGAGGCCTCCCCTGGTACAATCTAGTCTCCAGGATTCTTCCCAGTCTTGGCTGTTTTCTAAAAGTACACTGAGTATGCCTGGTGTTTTGTCCTTCTTCACAGCAAGAACATTCCTGTAAAAAATAGTCCTGGGCATGGGCTACCATGAAGCAACAGGGTTGGTTTAACTGTTTAAGGGACTCCTCACTCTGAATCTCCTGTTTGTACAATGTTCTTTGAATTTATAGTTAGTTCATACACTGACAAACACAGCCACAATAAGTTAAAGATCTTCATCTATGGGAGCCTTTGTTATCTAGCAAATCTTTATCATACCTTCACTCATACCTTCTCTAATCTAATTTCAGGTGATAAGTCTAGTCAAAACATATTTTTGAAATAATTTGAACATTCTACTCACTGGTATATACGTGGTCTCTGAAAGTTTATGGAAGCTTTCAAATTCTTCTTTATTCAACACTGTCCTTTCACATGTACATTTAAGACATCTCAGGCTAAGAAAGTATCTCGTTCATAGAACTGTTGAGAGTAATCACGGCACAATAGAACGTTCAACAGCACAAAATAAGGGTTTAAAGTTGTTGTTTGTATCTTTTCAGTAACATTAATATTGTCATCCCAAGAGCATAAAGATCTGTGCCTATAATTTTAGCATGTGAGACATTGAGACAGAGGAACTGTAATGAATTGGAGGCCAGCCTGAGTTACAGTGACTTTCAGGCCAGTGCAGGCTACATAGTGAAACTGGGTTTTAAAACAAGCAAAACCCAATCAACGAAGCAAACAAACATTGCTGTTTTTGAATATCACTATTCTAATATATAATAATTCAAATGGTAAGGATGGAGTAGATGGAGGTTGTAAAATATGGTATTACTACTTATATATTTATTTACTCTTTCATGTATATCTCTGTCTGCATGCACATCTGCACACACCAGAAGGCATCACACCCCATTATAGATTGTTGTGAGCCAACTTGTGTTTGTTGGGAATTGAACTCAGGACCTCTAGAAGCTCTGAGCCATCTCTCCAGTCCAATTTTCTTATATAATTAACAGTAACAGGTTGACTATCTAGTTCATATAGCTGAAGAGTTCATCCTAAAAAAATTGTGAGGATATAAATCAGTCTTTCTGTTTCTGTTTCTTTCAGTGACTTACTGCTGTTAAATGCTATCAGTTTTGAAATGTTTGCTTTCTGCTAGCATACCCCTGTCTACTGGTAGAACTCTGTTTAAAATTATGGAAATTTGTTTGGTTGTTTCCATATTCAAAACACCAATTTAAGGGAAGGGAATAACTAGTCGTGTTTCAAAGGTGTTAACAGAAAAACCAATCTCCTGATAAACTGATTTGGAGAACAATTCATGAAGTTCTCTGGCCCTAAATAACAGAGGTAGACAGGGACACTCTTTTATAACATATGCTTTCTGAGAGTTATGTACTCTTCCAGTTAGGGAATCATGTTTATTTCTAGACTCACTAGAATTGTTTATAGTAACATAAAGCACTACTAAACCTAAGGTTCTCTAGAGTGAATTAGCGGTGTTCCTTCTGGACTATGGTTATCCCAAGAGCTTAAGTTAAGTACTCCCAGGTACAGAATAGGGTCACAAAGACAGAGGGCATTTTTGCTTCCCGAGTAGACATTGCTATAGTACTGTTGAAACTTACCAGTCTTGAACCCCCTGCCCACCATGCATGAGATGAGATGCTTCCTCTCATCTCTCAATAGATGGATGTTGGCAGCGATTCCATTGCACCTCACCTTTACCCTTGCACAGCTTTGCTCCCACAAGAATTTATAAGTTAGGAAAAGGGTTTGAAGGAGTTTGAAGTTGAAGGAAATAAGTCAGGGATCCTTGGGTGAATCTTTGATCTGATAAAAAAAAGAAATTATGCCACAACACTCATTTGTCTCCAGGTAACTAGCAGGAAGCAAGCATCTGTACCCCTGAGAGTGAAGATGCTTTCTCTCTCTTTTTTTTTTCCAATGGCCCTGTTCTTTTTCTCCTAACCCATTTGTTTTCTATTACATTCATTTTCGTGTAAACATAGATCAAAACAGTTTAGACAGTTGCTAACACTTGCTTATCAGCACTGGCATGCTTCATTAATTAGATCATAAAGGCTTTGATTATTTACCAGCCAGATATATTTATTGATTGTATATGACAAAAATATAGCAACTCATGCAAATAAAATTGTGTACTCTCACCTACATACTCTGAGCATAATTTTAGATACATTTATTCATTTTCCATCCAGTTCCACCCCCCCCCCCCAAATATCTCCCTTCTCCTCTAGATTCACTCCTTCCCCATCTCCTCCTTGAAAAGAACAGGCCTCCCAGGGATATCAACTACACAAGGCACAGCAAGATACATTAAGACCAGGCACAAACCCTCACATTAAGACTGGTTGAGGCAATGCAGTAGGAGGAAAAGGATCCCAAGAACAAGTGAAGGAGTCAGAGGCACACCCCCCACTCCTACTGTCAGAAGTCCCACCCAAATACCAAGCCAAAAATGTAGCACATATGTGGAAGATTTATTCTTAAATAGGTAAATGACTATGAAAATAATTCATCTAGACCAAATCATCTCTAAGGTATGTTGGGGGGATTGAAATGAATAAGGCAAAAATTATATAACCAACCCCCAAAATATTCCATTCAAAAACTGTTTGCTGACTAAACAAATGTTAAGAACATGTGAGGAGCTGTTTGTTTGTAGAGAAAACAGATTTGTTTTTACACTTGAGTGCTTGACCCAAGGAAACATGGAGTGTTCTGTTTGCTTTGAGAACATTCTCAGCTAATTGTTTTCATAGTTTGTTGAAAGTTTCAGGTTCAGCATTTTATTGGAAGCAAACCTACAAAAACTGTACAAAGCATTGTTTTTTTAAAAAAATTATAATATATAATAAATATATATTACAATAAAATATATTAGATATATTTATTCTTTTATTTAGATACATTTATTCTTTTTTCTTTTTATAATAATATAAATTATTATATATTTATTATATAATATAATAAAATATATATTATATATATGTAAAAAAAGATCAGCAAACCTTAAATTGTTTCTTCTCTGATTTGTAGCATGCAGATAATTAGAGTGTTTGTGTTGCCATGGTATGAATTTGTCATTCATCTAAGATTACAACTTCAAAATAAGGGTTAAATGGTATTAATAAATCTCTGTAGAATGATGTAATGTACAGTAAATTATTATTGAAAAACATGTTATACCATTAAGGCATGCAGTTGGGATAGCTCACATTGTATGGTTAATGGGGGTAAAATTATGACTTTTATTTTCTGTGTCTATTTCATTATGCACATAAATGAAATGTTCAGCCTTTCTCTTGGTTGTTTTATTAGAATGAGGTCAACTGACCCAAGAGGTCATGTCCATTTTAGTCCATTTAATTCTGGAACACAGTTGAGTTTAATTTGCTGATTTTGAAAACATCCACCTGCTGATTTTCATGATGAAATGTTGCTGTGGAACAAGGACACGGAGTTTTATTGTGATATTTATACAGAAATTGTATTATTATGTGAATGTTAGCACATTGGGGATACTTTATGGAGTTTTATAATCAACACTTGAAACCAAAGTCTCTTCGGTATATTTTTTGTTTGATTGTTTTTTAATTTCAAAAGCATGGCAACAAACAAGGTTATCAAGTGAAGCTTGCCATCAAGTAGATTTATTATCTGCCTTGGCAAACAAAATTAAAAAGAAAAAAATTACTAAAAGAACTGCATTCATAATAATCAAATCAAAAAACGTATTAAGTAATCTGTAAAATGGTTCTTGAAAGAGATATCAAAACAGCAGCTTCATTTATGCAAACAGTTTCCCTCATTTCCCAGTTTTTTTTATTCACTTGTTATAAAAAGTATTTCATTGGAAGTTCTGTCCTCTAAGGCAGTATAGTAAAAAATTTTTGCAAGTATAAAGTGAATGCAAAATATATTATTTATTTCAACATGATCCCTCAACTATAGTCTCTTCTCTTTCCTTCATGTCAGAACCTTAGAAGATGTAATATTTCTTAGGGAAGTATATTTGAACACCAATATTATATTGCAGGTAAATTAGCACAAATTTCAATATTGATTTCTTTTCCCTATTAGAAACTGACACAACTGAGAGAAATTATTAGTGAGAGTAAAGGAAGAATTTATGATGTCAATCTTACGTCTTTACTTAGTTATTAGTCTTGGGCCTTTCTATTCATCCCTTTACAAAAAAGGATAAAAAGGGTCACCAGGCAACTTCTCAATGCTTTTTTACAATAAACATACCATAAATTAGTTATGCCAGTGACCCAGAATTTTCCTACCGTTACTACAATCATCATGGTTTTATTATCCTAATTGTAAATACTACTATTATAAAAGACAACTATCTTTCAGATATATCTAACTATACTCTTAGTTTTAGGGATCACACAAATTCAGAATTATAATGGACAGGCTTATTAAATGCTCAAGTATAAAGCATGTTCCAAATGTTGTATTTATCTTATCAAGCCCAACATCAAGATCAATATCATGATCAACATCAGCAAGATCTATTTGTACCTTATTTTAGAAATGCATTATTATTCACTAGGGTTATATATGCTGGGATATGGATGTATATAGACCTATTAGATGGAAAAATTAATATTTTAATTGTACAGTTTTATATAGTTAGCTCTTCTAAACAGATTTCATCTTCTGGATAAAGGAAAACCATGTTTTCTATTGCTTATTTATTGCCTTTAAATGGTTGTTCATCCATATTGATTTGAAATTTTTTAAAAAAATATTTAGCTTATGTATGTATCTTAAAATTTCAGTCATTAAGAGAATGTCAGCCTACTTCTATGGATCTTAGTAACCAAAATGTTATGGTAACATAAAAAAATGTTATATTTGCTGAAGCATCAGTTTGAAGCTATGCTCAGTGAGAGAAGGAATCAACATGCCAGTCACTGGTTCATCACCTATGCCAGAAGAAACAATAGGTTCAGTAGTGGTTCGGGAGCTACAGAGTTGGGATCTGCAGACGTGTCTCAACCTATTTGTTATATGAAACACATAGATGATTTCCATGGATGAAAGCAAAGTAGACCTAAATTATTGCCTACTGAAAAGTTGCATCAGGAGCTTGTTTATATTCCCTGAAATGGTTCTGACAAGTCATGCTTAAAATTCAATTGCTATTTAGTTCAGGTAGTGAGGCCTTATTTGCAGACATGATGTTTGCTACATATTGACTTGAATAGTTGATCAGTCTGTTCTTAACTTGGGAGTAGCATAAGGCTCTTTAACTTGATGTCTTTGAAGTAAAAACTGAAGTAAGTACTGATGATAAGACTAAAACCTACACTATCCCTTCAAATCCTCAGAGTTAGTCCTAAGGTTCAAAAAACTTTTTCTGTAGAATTATGTTTATATCTTTCAGTTGTATCAGACTTAGGCACCCTGTTCATAATTGAATTATGAGAATAGAAATCACTCTATTGTCCATACTTAAATGTAACATTACACATCATGCATTCTGATAATTTTCTTTTCTTTTTTTTAATTTCTTTTTTATGTTCTCACCACACCATTGTAATGTCTACAGTTCGCCCTGTTGGTAAGTAGCCATCATTCTATCCATTTGGCATGGCTTTGCACAGTGCTTCATAATTCATGCATAGTAGCATTTGGCAGAATTAAGTATATTTATTTACCCATGTTAAAATGCTTCTCGAGGGACTATCTGCTATAATAGTTGCTCATGGATTTTCAATTGCTTTGGTAAACAATTTTAGTATTTACTTTCTCAATACAGCAAGGAGCTGGTGTCAATTTTCAGATGAAATAACAAGTTGTTAATGTTATAAATCCCTAACTTTTCCTAAGTAGGATGATACAATACTTTATTTTGTATTGTATGTACAAAATAATAGGCTATGTTTGATATTACTCAAGAGAGAAGTCTATGCATTAAATTGAGATGTTTATCTCTTATTCACCTGCTTCATTTTAAGCCAGTCAGACTCCTCATTTTTTTAGGGATATTTCTCTCTGTGCCTGCTCATCTGCATTTCTACAGAGGGAAAATTTAATAAGAATCTGCTATATGTTGTGTTAAGTGGATTCTTAACATTAGTTTGGGAGAGTAGGGAGATACTGTGGCATGAAAACAGTGTTTGTGGCTTAATATCTCATCATTGCTTTGGCTTTGCAAAAATGAATAGCATGCGCTTATAGAAATTTAACTGCTGATTATTTGTGACTATTTTAATGATGAAATATTTTTAAATTCACTTAATTAGTAACATCAAGTTTAGAATAACTTACCCATGAGTATGTTTAGATAGAAGAAATTTTGTGAGATGAAAATATGGAGGCATAAATATGAGGATAAATGAATTGTTCCAGCACATTTTTAAAAAAGTATACCTCAAACTATTTTAATAACTTATTCAGCTTTCACTATTTCAGAAATTGTCCATCTCACTTGAAAACCCTTCTTAATATACTGACCTGACAATTTTACCATTGGATGTGAATTGACCTAAACTCACATTATTTTTTTTTCTTGTTTGTGATAACACATACTTTTATCATATAGTTTGTTCATGTCAATAGCAAGTATTGTCAATAAAATTTGGTTTCAAAATTAGGAGTTCTCATATGCATTATATTAGCACTCTTTTTTTTTATTCACATGTTAATATTCTTACTCCTCTGTGTCAAATAAGTGCAGGAGGTCTGAATGAATGACCCTAGCATAAGTGGGTCATTGGGCCATGCATACAATGTTTCTGTAAACTTCTATTGTCACAGGGCAGTGGTGGTGCACACTTTTAATCCAGCACTTGGGAAGCAGAGCCAGGTGGATCTCTGTGAGTACGAGGCCACCCTGGGCAACAGAGTGAGTTCCGGGCAAGGTGCAAAGCTACACAGATAAACCCTGTCTTGAAAAACAAAACAAAACAAAACCTCTATTGTCTCACTTCTGGGTCTAGTTTTTAATACACTTATTGCTTAGCATAGTAACATTTTGAAATATACTTGAGACTTAATTAATTTAAATATAAGTTGCAATGTTTTTTTTGAAGCATAATAATTTGACCAATCATACTTTTCGGGATTGATTTTTAAAAATTGAGGACAGTAATACTATAATTTTAAAACTCATTGTTTGAATTTTTAATGATTCATTTAATAACAACTACATTACAATTGAGGGCTTCTTAAAAATAAGAAGAGAATAAGGAAGAATAAAATGGCATAGACTAGGAAAAGAGAGCTGCTTTTCAGTAACATCACTGTTCTACACCTAGAACTATATTCCCTTGTCATTTTAGAACCATGCTTTGTTCTAACATCATTCTAGAGCTGATAGTCCATTATCTGATCACTCTAGATACATCGCTTTGCTCTAAATTCATTCTAGGACTGATGGTCTCTTCTGACCATTCAAGAACTAATGCTCTGGTTGTAGGTGGAGTTTCTCCATCCCACCAGTCAGCTCTGTCCCACCAGCACACTCCTAAAATAAGCATTCAGAGACTTAATATTCATTATGAATACTTGGCCAATAGCTTAAGCTTGATAATAACAAGATCTAAAAACTTAATCCATATTTCTAATTTAAGCTCTGCTTTTTCCATAGTACCTTTTTTCAGCATGCCATTTTCATCTTGTTTCTCTCCAAATCTTCTGGTGATTCCTCTTCTTCTATCCCACACTCTCTTTTTGTCTAACCTCTACCTGCCTAGCTACTTGCCAGTTAGCCCTTTATTAAACCAATGAGAACAACAAATATTCACAGTGTACAAAAAGATTGTTCCACAGCATCTGATAGATGACCATTTCATTAGAGTTTCTCTCTCATCATCTCTTAACTAGGTAGAGAGACCTATTTATGTAACAAATATTAAATTCATTATTGAAACTTATTATATACTAAAAATGTATTAGTAAAGATATGTATGCAAAAATTACATATAATAAAATTAAGGACATAATAATTGGAAAGAAAAAAATCTAATCTTTTTGGAAATTTTAATAACTAGGCAGCAACAACTTTACAAGTTTATAAATTTTAATTTATTTTAAGAGAGTAAATCTATAATTCTCATTGTTGATGTTAAATATATATGATTAGATGAGAACACTTGTCAATGGAAAAAATTTCAGAAAGAACTCTTCAGATATTATAATTATAACAAACACATTTCAAGTAAACAGAAAATAAACAGATTAAACTTACAGATTTTGGTAGCTAGAAATAAAATGTTCATACACCTCTTAACGCATTTAATAAGTTCTTAGATTATATGACAATGTTAATAATGTCTAATACATTTATAGAATGTATTAGAGCACTGGTTAAAACAACATGGTGTGTTCGGTGCTCAGAGATGTAGCTGTCACTGGCAGTGAATTTCAAAAGTTATTTCCAAATTTATCCTTGTTTGAAACAATTTCTTATGATTCCCATTGAACTGGAAATAAAGAATAGCTTTTTGACACATTATACTTTATCTTAGAAAGTCTGTCATTTCTTAAATCTGTCTTGAATGACTTATGACAGTGCTCAGAAGTATGAAGAACTATACTTCAAATGTGACAACTGCCATGAACTTGGGAAATTGAAAGTTAGATACGTTTTCATTGGATTAGTAAAGAAAAGGCTGACAAAGAAGAGATTAGACTGCTGTGTCCCTGAATTAGCTCTTAAAATGACTTTTGATACATTAAATATAGACATTGAAACTTTTATAAGGTAAAAGGAAGACACCAATTGAAATAATCAATTAAACACATCATTGAAAAACTCATTATTATTCAGTTTTTTAGTGGAGTCAAACACAGTATTTTCAACTTTGAAGATCTTAGAGCTATCATAAAGAGTATTCTAAAAGCTAATCTTAAAGAGGTGAGAAAATTTCTTTCTAATTCTACTCTAAATAAGGGAACAACATATTTTCAAACTAATACAAATTTTAGAAAAAAAGTTTCTGGATTTTTCCTCTGAAAGGATTTTAAAAGAACAGTATAAATCAAATTAAATTTCTGGAGCACTTAAAGATTCAGAAAACAATCACTTTGTTATTCCATACGAAGCTTTTTTGTGTTCTGTGTAGAAAGCTAAATTTGGAAATTATTGCAAACTTCATAGTGAGAATTTGTCCAAACATACAACTTAAAAGATTCAGCTGAATTTAAAAGAGACAAATTTACTACACTATGAAGGTCACAGTTGGAATTACACACACTCTTAACTGTATTTTGAGATTCAATATAAATTTGATTAGATTTCTGCTGTAGAAAATAATTTTGAAAGCCATCAATTTTATCCTCATTTGAGGAAAGTATTTTCCATGTTACTGTTTCTCATTTGTAATGTCACCAGTGTCGCAGAAGGAGCCCACTTATCTGTGTGTTATATTTTGGGTTAGCACTAAATCTAGATCCATGCTTCTTTATAATGAACTCACCAGGCTTTCCTGCTTTACTTTTGACATTGTTCCAAAGGCATCATTCATAGGAAAAGTCAAAAATGCATCTGAGGGTAAAGCTAGCTGTGACTAGTGAAGTATTAATTTGTTTATGGAAATGTCTTCTAACCAGAAACCTGACAATAAGAAAACGATCACAGTGGGGAACCTCCCTCTGTTCCTATAACCATCTGGTTTATTTTCCTATTGGAAGCCTTTCTCCAGCATAAAAATAAAAATGAACATCTATTTTGGAGATGGGCAACACATTTTTTTTCATAGCAGTAATTCAAAACATGATGAGCAATTTGGAAAAGAACTGTCAAATCTACCAGCTGCCTTGCCTGTGAAGTTGAGCTCTCTTCCGTTTTGTGTCTTATGTACCATATGCTAGCTGCTGATTGCCTCAACCATAGAGAGGAAAAGCTGAGTGGATCAGGTGAAACTTCTGGAAATCAACAGCAAACTCCATATATAACTTCATAGACATTTCTAGGCATTTAACCAATTTAGTCATAAAAATGTTTGTTACATTTTGATAGAATGTGCCAGTGCAAGTATTTATAAGTACTTCAGAATGACATGTTATTGCAAAAGCAATATTAAATGATTTATTTTTAAAGAAACAGTGCTAAAGAAATGTCTCAGTGGTTAAGAGCACTTGCAGCACCCACATGGCAGTTCACAACCATCTGTAACTCCAATTTATGGGGATCCACATCCATTTCTGACCTCCATGGGCACTATACACACCTGAAGAACTAAAAAAAAATTATATATATATATTATAATTTATATATAAATTATACTTTTCTAAAGAAGAAAGAAAGAGCCATTATTTTAAACAAATCTTTATGGGCATATTTATATCCACATATTAGCTAGTTCTGTTTATACATTGGTATACGATTTAATTATAGCATGATCTAAATAATTTTATTCTTGAAGTCAGCAAAAATGTTAATAAAAGAGACAATGAATGAAAATTTTCTTTAGGGAAAATTATAATTCAGACCTGACTTAGAGCATAAGATGTCAAATAGTCCTAACTCCTTCACATTCCAAAAATCAAGCTTAAAATTTAATGTTTGTACATAACTTAATACGGTGTCTGTTTCAATTACTTTTAAAACAAGAA